TGCCAAAGCGTAGCAAATCCCATCGAACAGTCATGGCTGGCAAAGTATATAGCAAAAATGGCAGCCATTTTTCAAAATGGCCACCTTCTACCAAAAGTGTCATTAGACAGTGTGCCATGCTTATAGTATTCACATACCAAATATGAACAAAATCGCTCCACTACTTTTCGAGTTACAGCAAAAATCGTAAAATAGCGAGTAAAGGCCGCCATTTTTCAAGATGGCTGCCACGTGCTTCTCTAGTATCTACATTTCTAGCTTTATTAATGTTCTATATAATTTAAAAAGGCCACCATTTTTAAATGAGCAGATGAGAAGCAAATGTGACCTAGGCATTACTGGACATATTCTAATTTTCATATAACTATTAGATACATAAGGGTGATATGAAAATTGAACCACTAAAACACATGAATATTAAGTTAAATCGAACTTTCTACTATACCCACCATGCTATCTGACCCGAACGAACCACCTAATGGTGAAACTGGTAACTACCTACTCGCATCAAATTGCGACACAAAATAATTTAGAGTCAAAACATTTTACCCAACAATATTCAACTCAAAACAATAAGGGCTTGAGACAAGTAGATACTAGTAGTACATACATTAGTCATCTGATGTTTGTATTATGTGCTTATTTCGGAGACCAGAGAAAGTTGCAATTTTTTTCCAAAAAGTTGTAGGAGGGAATGCAAAAGTTGCAATCCAAAAATAACAAAAGTTGCAAAAAGTTGCGACATACAAAAGCCCTGTGATCGGGGGGCTCTCTCATTAATAGTCACCAAAAATCGCTTCATATTCATGTCCATAATCTAGAATATTGTAACGTGTAGACATCGTGTAGACAGATAAGTTGATTACTTAGCGATTATTTCAATATTACCTGATAATGTAAAGGATAGGTATCGATATGGAGAACTGGATTCAACAATGTTTTTCTCTTAAACCAATCATTGAAAACATTCTGTTAATGCGAAAATTATTTAGAAATATTTTATATAACTGTTTTTGTTAACATTTTTTGTTTTTTTAGTGCAATTGTTTTTGCTCCTTTCTACCAATTCTTGAGAATGAGATAAAATGTCTTTCCGAACCTTGTTGGAACAAAATAGCATATACAACATGTTTTAAGACCTCTCAATATTTAAGTTATACAAAGGAATTTTTGGTTGATTTTAAATAAATATTCAAAAAATCCCCCCAAAATAGATAAAAATCAAGAAAACCCTTTTATTTCATTAACAAGATACTTTTTTAAAATCAACCAAAATTTCCTTTGTACAATTACAATATTGAGAGACCTAAACATGTTGTGTTTGTGTCGTTTTGTTCCAATGAGGTTCGGAAAGATGTTTCATTTCACTCTTGAAACATGATACCAAGAACAAAACAAGTGTTTGATGTGTTTTTTAAAACAATATAGATGAAACTATGTATATCTATTTCAAATTATATCGCCATATCGATACCCATTCTTTGTATGTGCTATGTTCTAAATTACCAAAGCGATGTCGTAAAACCAGAATAAAATGACAAATTCTCGGTAAGATAAAAAGATCTGATTTTGAGTGGTCTTATCAAGGAATTTACGGGAACGAATTGACTAGAAAACAAGCTGTTGAAGTTGCGCTGTTTTGTAAAAGTTGTGCTCTGCACTGAGAGTGGCGGGAAGTTGTCATTGCGCCCAACAATGCAACTTTCTCTGGTTTCAGTTATTTGGTCAGGAAAACTGAACTGGTTCAAATTCTTTACTAAATATAATTAAATTATAACAAACTAAAGAAAAGATTCTTATACAATAACAATTACTAGACTATACCAAAGAAAATTACCTATTCCATTCAATATATCATTTGTGGATAACCTTAAATGTGTTTGAAGTCCAATAACGCTTCGAGTAAAACTTGTTGAAAATGGCGTCAGATATCACACTCTAAAATGTACCATCTCCTTTTTAAATGTTTCAAATGTGAAATACAAAAGTGAAAATGCACAATAGTGAGGGACTGTTCTGATGATTCTGGCATCTCAAGAACTGACTCATTTGTAAATGCTTTTTTGAAACACATGATGCTGACACACACTTTTGCCAAAAAGGTCATGAAGATTCTGAAGATTTGAACAACATAAAAAAACAAGGAAAAAGTTTGCCAAATTGAGTTTTCCTTAAAGTGAGAACATCATTAAAATAGTTGTAAATACACATGAGTGTAAGAGTAGAGCTGTCACCTACTTCCTACTTTAATTAAGATAATTATTACATGAGAATATATTTAACATCTGGGAGCAACGTATGGTAGAATATATTATGAACAAATATGTAATCCTTACAAATAGTATATGACAACTATCTCTAACTAAAAGACTGGGTAAAGAGATTTAGATAGCCATATCTTTGATTATGATTATATCCTCACCAGAAATACAACAGTTAACATTGAAATAATTTGTTTTAGTTAAATTTTCAGGATAATAAAAATATCAATCTGGCTCTCCAAAAACATTCTTCAGGACCCCATCTTGACACATTTTTAAATTTATTAGAGTTATTTTCTCAAAAGAAGACCTTGCTTTTCTTATTTTTACCCTATCAAAAGTGTCTTCTGCACCACGTCAGTATCTTCTGAAAAGGTATATGATGTTGTCATTCTATAATAAAAACAACATACCTCACATTAAAATTCCAGTGAGATTTTAATAATAGGCATGTATTCACCTAAGAATCCATTTGCACCAACTTGAAATGAGAAAATCATAAAAATAGGCAGCGCAACGACTTGAGAAAAAATCCTGGGGAGAACACTTAATTTCATTGGGAAAACTCAAGCCATCCATTCTTTTCAACCTAATTTTGGTCACCCAAATTTGAAATCTTCCAAATTAGGTTTCAACATAATTTACCTTTGTTGAAGTTCTAGATCTCTTGTTTTAACCAGCAACAAATAGAAACACTAAGACTGATATTACCTTTCCTGAGCTATAAGGGCATCATCTGGTTTAACACCTTCTTCATACCTATTTTCTTAGTAACTTTATTTCTACACTTGAAAATTAAGTTTGGTTTATAAAAGCATTATAATTCCCTATTGCTACATAAACAGGCAGATATCTTAAAATGATCTTGTACCAAAACCATCTCCGGTCTTGCGCTTATAACATATACGAACTTACGAAGTCACAATATATTTCAAAATTCGAAAAAAGATGGCGCTAGCTATGCATATATTTCTTACCTGTATCGATTCTTAACACCACAAGAAACCTTATTTCAATGGCAAAAAAGTTCTGGCTATCTCAAATTGCAGAAATATATACTTCAATCTTCAGATTGACCAGTATTTCAAGATGTAAGCTATCAGATGCCATGAACATTTAAACCAGTGCATACATTTCTACATCTCTTCATTGCTGGGAACATTATCCTTTTAATATGGAATCTAGTCAAGCAATGTTGATAAATTATGAATGTTATAAACACAGTCATGTATTTGAAAGAGTCACTAGGAATTACTGTTGTGTTTGACATGTTGTTAGGTAAGAACATGTGAACTGCCAAAGCTGAAAGTTTACACCCAAGATTCATTTATATATTACTCCGTGTACATGAAGTCCAAGAAGTGGTGTCAATCAATAATACCTGACATCTTGAAATGCTGGTTAATTTAAAGATTGAAATGTATATTACTGCGAGACAGTTGGGACTTTCTGGCCTTTGGGAGAATGTTGAGAAACCCAGATAAATAAACGAAAAGAATGCTAAAATAACCAGGAATCGATTGAAGTAGGTATCTTAAGTGTATCTTAAGTGTAAGAGGCATAGAAAAATTCTCCCATGTTATAATTGTACAGGCAAAAAATGGAGACTTTCTCAGGACTTACTCACTTCGAGAGCCATGTTAGATTTTGAAACTTATGGCTCTCAAACGGGGAAATGGACAGCTGAATAACAGTGACCTTTTAAACACGAATTAAGTTGATCAGCTGCCTACTTTTGTTCTCTAACTATGTTATACATCATGATCATCCTTCCGTGCAAGTATTAGAGTGCTGAAGTACTTCCTTTTCGATCAAGACTTGTAATAGTTAGTCGAATGAATGTTTTTACTGCCAAATTCCAATATGGCATTTTCTGCTCGGACATTTCCGTGAATCTCCAGAGGTTGTCCGAACCTAATCATTCTTAAAATTCATTTCGTTCGTTGCATATCTTGATCAAAAAAGAAGTATTTCAGCCCTCCAATACTTGCACGGACTGGTGCTACTGATGTAAGACAGTTAGAGACCAAAAGTAAGCCGCTGAAATTTTTATTCATATTTTAAAGGTCACTATTACTAAGCTGTCCAAGTGCGCCGTGGGAAAGCTATTGTATCAAAATCTACATAGCTTTCGCAGGAAGTAACTCAGGACTATAGTCCTGGCACGGGATAAGGTCATCATTAGTTCATGAATAGCAACAGTCCATAAGAGATAGCATAAACAACGATAAAACACACAGGGCTTCATGATCAGCGTAAGGCCACATTTGTGTCTGAAGAAGAAAAGCCACTACCTTAGAGGCCGAGGTCTAGTTAGACTATATCCTCTTGTCTGAAATTTTTTTGAAATTTGGAAGTGAAGTTTCCTAAAATTGATAATTGTGTGCAGGAAATTTCCTGTTTTTTCCCACAGGAGAGACATAATGATCAATAGACTGAATTCTCAGGAAATTCAGTCTATTGGATATAGACTAGAGGTCTAGTAAGCCTAGTCTACATGTCAGAAAAATACTTTTTTTTTTCAAGGAATTGAATTTACATGTCTGTGAAATATTGCTGTACCTCACAAGTGGATATTCCCATGAACCAAAATTAATTTGTCAAAAGTTTTGAACCAGGAAGTGACATGATTTCCCTAAAATTTTGGTTTGGCGACATGACATCCTTGTATGCACCGAAGTAGAAACTTGATTTACACATTCATTCATTCAATAGTATTTGCAGGTAAATTTTACTTACTGTATTAAATTGTTCGATGAGTTCATCAAGCTGATCAGCCTGAATCATAAGACTCTGTGTTGGTCGTCCCGCCATGTTGCTTGTATTGTAAATATGCAATTGGGGTGGGTCATTTGATCACGTGACACAAAGCAAGGAGGATCGACTCCCAGGGTTCCAACTCGTTATTTTTAATATCCAAGAGATTTGTACAGTGCTTATTTCTACAGCAAAGTTCGCATGAATAACTGCAAGGAGAATGGCAAGATGGGGAAAACCCAAGGATTCGGAGAAGACATGCGTCTCTTCAATGTAAATATGTACTGACACCACCATAGGCCAAGGGTTAAGTAATGGTAAGCCGTATATAGAAGCAGTACTGTCAACCCCTAACGATTTTCTCGCGGGACAGATTTTTTAGACCCAGTGCCCAAAATTCGCGGGATTTTGCGGGACATCTACTAAATTCGCGGGATTTTGCGAGACATTTAAGGGATTTGCATGATTGCGCTAATAGGAGATTTTTTTATCAAATTCGCGGGATTTCGCGGGACCATTCGAGGGACAAAGACCCTAATTGCGGGACAGTTAACAGGTGTACCACCAAAAACTTCATAGAGGGACAGATTTTTTAGACAAAGTGCCCTAAATTTGCGGGATTTCGCGGGACATCCACCTACTCAGATCAATGTCCCTCCCAAGGTCGGGCCATATATCACTGAGACCTCGGGCATATATGCCACGATAATGACATAAACGATTTATAACATACCTATCGTGATGTAGACTGGTCAGAGAGTACCGTTTTCTTATAGAATTGACAAACAAATGGTTTGAAAATGATTGAAAAGAGTTTAGAAAAATTGCTCGCGCAGTTTTATCTTCGATTAATTGGTTATGACGTCAGCGCCTTGACCAATCAGAAAGTTAGCGGGCGCGGGCTTTTCGAAACTTATATTGGCCCGCTGTCTTGTGTACACTTTGCACTATACACCATCATAGGTATGTTATAATCAAATATAATGCACCGTTACATTGTAACTTAAATAAACGTCAACACAAAATACGCATAGGAATATTATTAAACTTTATTGTAATTTATCAAAAACAAAAACCATGCTTCAGGTGTGATCCCGGGGGGTTCACTATATATAAACCTTGACGGGGATCCTCGGCTCATGTGGGGTACCTTTTTCAACGTTTGGTATGGCAATGGACCCATATTTTAGGATTTGGTATGGGAATGCCCGGAAATTTCTGACTTCTGAGGTATGGCAATGGTCGGACTTTTGCTCTTCTGGTATGAGAATGGTCGTTGTAGATACGTTACCTAACATTCGTGGTATGGCATTGGTCCAGTAGTTGCAAATTTGAAGTTTAAAAAATGGACGCTCGATTCGAAAAGTGGTTGATTTCCAACGATTTGAAGCTTATGGTAGCGATATTTAAAGGTTAGTGCCGGTTCATTATATCGACTGATATACTGTGATTCCAATATACAGTTTTGAAGGCGGTAGACCTCGATTATTTTCCGTTATCCCTGATTTTCTCAACGGGTTTGTGGATTTTTCTGGAAATTTTTTTTATGACCCCAACTACAGTATGGCATTTGTCCTTGATTTGAGGTATGGCGATTGGTCCTGTATTTGCACATTTGTATGACATTGATCCTATATTTCATTTACTTTGAATTAAGGTATGGCATTGGCCCCATATTTGGACATTTGGTATGGCATTGGTCCTACATTTTGACATTTGGCATGGCATTGGTCCCATAATTGGACATTTGGTATGGCAATGGTCCTATATTTGGACATTTGGTATGGCATTAGTCCTAAATTTGGACATTTGGTATGGCCTTTGGGCGTTATTTTGGTTGGTATGGGAACATATTGAAATTTGACAGATTGGTATGGGAACATATTGATATTTGAGGCTTCAGCCTAGGACCCCCGTCGAGTTTTATATACAGTGAACCCCCCGGGGGTGTGATTACCGTAATCTAACACGAAATTCAAAAATTCGGAACAATACTTTGCACTTCTGGCGTCGTGACCAACTATGAAACGCTTACCCCCATAATGTTATATATTAAAATGTACCTATTCATATACTGTAGGCATGGGCTTTCAATTGAAAGCCCATGATATGGGGGTTCGATTAATCTACATCAAATTATAGGGAATGAGGTTAATTTTCTAGATATGGTTTGTATAAAAAACCGGGTACCGGGTAGTAAATCATCCGTGCTGGATTCAAACTTGGTACCCGGTCGAAAAAAACCAAAAAACGAAATATACGAATACACAACATAATTAGATCATTAGAAAACGTGTAAGATTTGTTTTGAATTTACAAAAATGTATGGAACTTCCTTCAAAATTGAGCTAGAAGCTTCAAATAAAAAGCATTTTAAAGCATTTTAAGGCTCTTTTCTTCCTCTATCATCTTGGTCATATTTCCATTGGTAATGAAGGGGGGGGGGGGTGCGATCGCACCCCTCCTGGCTACGCCAATGACATTGTAAGACGATTTGAAAAACAAGACAAATCAATCTTACTCTATTTTCAATGGTTCGTATGTTGGTACGTGAATTGTTTTGATTATGATTTAAATCTGTAAATAGCTATCGTTGCTTTAGCAGAGAGGTGACGTGTGTTAATTTGCATGATGCAACGTGTAAGATTTTGATTATTAATCATAATTTAAGTTATCCCAATTTATGACAAAATGTCCACTGAATTGTAAATTGTTATGTCTTACAATGTCATAGGCGTAGCCAGGAGAGGGTGCGATGGTGCGATCGCACCCCCCCCCCACTAACCAATGAAAATATGGCCATAACGATAGAGGAAGAAAAGTGCCTTAAAATATGCTTTTTATTTGAAGCTTCTAGCTCAATTTTGAATCATGTTACATACATTTTTGCAAATTCAAAACAAATCTTACACGTTTTCTCATAATCTAATTATGTTATATATTCGTATTTTTCGTTTTTTGGGTACCCGTTTTTTTTGACCGGGTACCAAGTTTGAACCCAGCATGGAGGATTTACTACCCGGTACCCGGTTTTTTATACAAACCCTTTCTAGATATCAGCGTACATTTATTGTAACTCGCGTTTACTAACATTTGCTCAGTTCTGAGATGAAGGCCACACGGGTAGTAAAAAGGCCAACGTTGGAACCGTTGTGACCTACATCCCTATTTTCGTAATTAAAATGAAAGTTGAACCCATCCCCTTTATTTTGATACCAAACAACAGCATGCTAGGTACTTAAAATTAGGTAAACTTTACTCCTCAAAAGTGCAAAAACTTAGCTTTTTATATAAGATAAGATAATCAAAATATAGGGGATTGCAACAATTTCGGAAATTCGCGGAGGTCAAAGCCACATTTTGCGGGACTTCGCGGGACAATGCGGGACACGCGAATTAGCCTAATTTTGATCAAATTCGCGGGATAATCCCGCCATTCGCGGGACACTTGACAGCTCTGTAGAAGAGACAGGTGAACAACTCTGACTTAGACTTATCCCGTTCCCGGACTATAGTCCGGGAACGGGATAAACTTAGACCACTTGTTAAGATGGAGATAATATTTAGTGTATTATTTTCAAAAAGCCATTGGGAGTTGATAGAAAATTGATAGTTTCTAGCTCTTACCTAAGATTGAAACTCAGTCAGATGATATAGAGTGAATAATGCTGTCTAAAAGAGAGAATTTCTGAAAACCTGCAATTGCTTGGCAAGTTCATTAGTAAACAAGTGATCTGTTTGGTCACTGCTGACCTCCACCAGTGACAATCAGTTTCAGCCCCGGGGGGTTCACTATATATAAACCTTGACGGGGATCCTCGGCGCATGTGGGGTACCTTTTTCAACGTTTGGTATGGCAATGGACCCATATTTTAGGATTTGGTATAGGAATGCCCGGAAATTTCTGACATCTGAGGTATGGCAATGGTCGGACTTTTGCTCTTCTGGTATGAGAATGGTCGTTGTAGATACGTTACCTAACATTCGTGGTATGGCATTGGTCCAGTAGTTGCAAATTTGTATGACATTGATCCCATATTTCATTTACTTTGAATTAAGGTATGGCATTGGTCCCATATTTGGACATTTGGTATGGCATTGGTCCTACATTTTGACATTTGGTATGGCATTGGTCCTATATTTGGACATTTGGAATGGCCTTTGGGCGTTATTTTGGTTGGTATGGGAACATATTGAAATTTGACAGATTGGTATGGGAACATATTGATATTTGAGGCTTGAGCCTAGGACCCCCGTCGAGTTTTATATACAGTGAACCCCCCGGGGTTTCAGCTTGCCAGGCAATTGCAGATATCCATAGTTGTTGTTTTATATGCAGTATTATATGCAGTTTTTAGATAAAGATTTGAAAAAAATAATGATATAAGTTTGAAAAACACTTTGAAGAAGATTTTGGAGAGATTTGGGAATACAATTTGATACCAGTAAGGAGAACTAGTGCCAAGACTAAAAAAATTTGAAAATTTTTCAATCCTACTTGTGGACCTGTCTCTTCTATATTCAGCTTACTATTACTTTTCCCTTGGCCTATGCAAGGGCGTTACAATACCCGGGAATTTATCGGTTCGTCCAGTACTTGTTTGTGATAGCGCCCTCTGTAGGTCACTGTGCTTATAGCCTACAGTAATACGGGGTAGGATATCGGGAATTCGGTCAGTTTCTATCCGTCGATTTCGCTATGAATTGAAGCAAGTGTGACCACTTTATCCACTTAAACAATTTGATAATTGATTAAATCTTTAAACAAAATCGATAAACACGTTATACACTTCCTATCTCCTTAGAAATTAGCATGTATTTATGGATTGTGTTTTCGAACAAGGCTCGACCCACCCCAATAGGGAAATCCTTATGCTAATTAGTATGACGTCATATTTTCCTGGGGAATCCTAGATTTCAAAGCCTCAGTCTGTTATTGTGTCAAATGTAAACGCTCTTGGGACGCTCTTTTGCAGACAGAAAATTGACAGATTAGCTTTTAACTTTCAGCTTTGATGTTAAAATATTCTGTATTTCTACCGGACTTCTTGCTGAATATCATATAATGTTATAACTTGATTTGGACCATTGCCTGATTGATCATTCTGAAATTTTGATTGTGATTCATGATTGATTGGCAAGAAAAAAGAATTCCTATTGTTTTCCAGCGAAGTCAAAATGTTACAGCATGAGTTATAATGTCAAGTTTGCATCATGTTAAATTCTGCTAGTGATTAGAAGTCCATGCACAAGCATAC